TTAATTAATTTTTTTTATTCCTTTTAATTTTTCTTTTTATAATAGTATTTGTTTATTTTATTTATTTTTATAATTAAATTTGCATGTAAAAATTAGGTTTAATTTAGGTTTAATTCTAATTTTTTCTTAATAAATTAAAATAGAATTAGGGTTAGTAGTTAATTTTAATTAATTCTTTCTTTTCTATTAAATCCTAAAAAACTAAAAAACACCAAAAACAAGTCCTTTCTTTCTTTTAACTTTAAATAATTAATTAATTTCATCATGTAGCTTAATTTTGCAAAAGGGTCCAACGCCTTCGTTCCGATTTAATTCTTAATTCGCGTATTTCTTTTATTTCGCTTAAATATTTATGTATCTCTCCCAAGGCCTTGTAACATTTTAATTACTTCTCGCACTTTTAATTTCTTTATCTTTTCCGTCAAATCGGGTCCTGGTTAATTTTGGCGATGTGGACCCGCGCCTTTTGTAATAGCTTTAGATCTTTACTTTCCCGCAAATATTTTAACTGCTAACGAATGGCATGAAAGAATGTATGGATAAAATAAATAAAAACAAGCGTAGAACACCAATAACATGACAAGATAAATGCAAATGAAAACGACACACGAATCGCACACACCACCCCTAGGGTACGCCTCACTGTTGCCTTGCCTCGAAAGGTGGTCGTCGAGTAGAGGATGTCTTAGTAAGTCCTCATGATCCAGGAACCTGGCATGAGGGTAGCTTCTAAGGTGTCTTCCCATTGCTCTGGTGATCACCATGTCCCTAACCTCGAATTGACCCGAACACCTCCAATGGTGGTGCTACCTATCTCTCAATGGTGGGATGGCACTACTTTAAAGGACATTTACACAGACGAATTCCTTAGGGTAGGTAGACGACTCTAGATACTTGCTCTAAACTTCAAAACAAATCAAAAAAATACTTTTCACACCAACACATTTTCAAAAAGCTTTCGAAAGCAATTTTTCAAACACTCTTGAGGACCGATACAAGAGTCGAACTGAAATTTTCAAAGAAACTTTTTTTAAAAACCCACAATTGAAAAGCAAACATTTTTGAAAACACAAATGAGCAAGTATCTAAGAGCCCATGGATAACCATGGATAGAAAGGGTGCTAACACCTTCCCTTTCTATAATCTACCTCCCGAACCGAGAGCAATCTCTTTAAGGAATTTTTATGTGCTTTTGTCCTTTCCATTTGGAGAAAATAAAAGACGGTGGCGACTCTTGCTTACCGCGACATTTCGCGAACCAGCGTTAAACAGTCAGTTCCAGATCCACCGATCACACCATAGTATGCCCACTGGAGGGAGTACCAAAGATACCTTCGCGCATATCTTACATAATTTCCTCTACTACTTTCTTGTCCATACAACGAAGCTGAGTTGAATCATGACTGCGCTTGTATAAAATTCCATTGCTCAAGAAGAACTTAGCCGAGAACCTCTGTAGGAATTTGTTGTCATTGATCGATTCCCCTCCAGGGTATTCTTGAGTCTCAAGATACCTTTTCACTTCATGAAACCAATGTTTTTCTTCTACTCCATCAATGTCAATTTCATAGCAGTGTGCCGGTTCGTCTAATCTTTCAATGGTAATTCTGGAAGCCTCATTGTCCCATATGACCTTGAACGTGGATGGCATGGTAGAAAATGCGTCCGCCAACTGATTCTCTTCTCTTGGGATATGCTCAAAAGTAATCTCTTTGAAATACAAAATTAAGGTTAGCACATGTTCTCGGTAAGGGATAAGGTTCAGATGCTTCGTATCCCATTCTCCCTTGACCTGACTGATTACCAGGGATGAGTCCCCATATACGCTCAAGAACTTAATTCTCAGGTCAATAGCAGCTTTAATACCCATGATACATGCTTCATATTCAGCCATATTGTTGGTGCAGTCAAAGAAAAGTCTGATAGTAAGGGTGTATGGTGTAATACACTGGGAGAAATGACTTTACTGGTTTTTCATTTTATCAAAAATGTTGCGGTTAGCAAGAGTCGCCACCGACTTTTCCTTTATCCAATAAAGGAAAGGGTGAAACGAATAGGAAATAACTTTGAGAATTTTTTTGAGTAAGGGGGGTAGGTTATGGAAAGGGAAGGTGTTAGCACCCTTTCCATCTGTAGTTATCTACGGGCTCTTAGTTGCTAGCTCACTTTGAAAATGCTTTTTTGCGTAAGTGTATTTGAAAATATTTTTAAAAAGACGCCTTAGTGCGGCGAACTTTGTAATGATTCTCGTATCATTGAGAATGCATACAAAGTGTTTTTGTATTTGAAAATATTTAGAAAAAAGAGAGTGTATGTGTGATAAATTTTGTTTTGTTTCATGAACAAGCAACTACGAGATGTCTACCTACTCGAATGGTCTTTGTTCTTTTCCTCTTTTCCTTTAGGTAGTGTTATCCCACCATTAGTTAGTAGGTAGCCCTATCATTGGATGTTTGAGGGGCAGGCGAGGGTCATCATACAGCCATGAAGGTAACTCGTAAAATGATTTAGAATTTACCCTAATGTGATAAGATCATTTACCGAGGCAACATCGAAGGGTCATCGAGAGACTACGATCTTTTGACAAAAAAGGTCTTTGCTAAAACTTCTCACGTTCAAGAGAGGTGACTGTTTGTTTTCCGAAGGCAACAAGTGGAGGTACCTTAGAGGTGCGCGTGTGTGAAGTTGTTGTATTTCAGTTATATTTGTCTTCAATGTTAGCTTTTCTAACGTTTGATTTTAAGTCTTATCATGCAATACCTATTAGCATACGTCTAGCAGTTAAATATATACAAGTGCGGAAAAATAAAAATGCAGAAATTAAACTATGCTATTGTAGCGGTAAAATCAATGAAGTCGCCACCGAGTATTTATTTATCCCATATGAAAGGGAAAGGAAAATCATTGAAGAAAAACCTAAAGGGGGAAATCAAGGTCTTGCGACTGAGAGATTGGGTAAGGGAGTCGATTACGCGAGGAGAAGGTATTAGCACCCCACACGTCCATAGTACTCTACGGGATCCACTCTCGTTATTCTAATCAAAGGGTGTGTTCAATCTAATGCTTAAGGGTTATAAACTAAGAGGGAATGCATGCAAAGAAAAGAGAAAGAATGTAGGGAAAATAAAGTTGCACTCGCTTGGGCCCTACCCCAATGCCTACGTATCCTTTTTGAAGAATCAGAGCTACCGTAGTTCGGCTCATATATTTTGTTTGTTTGTATTTTTTAAATGAATAATGTTGCATTCGATCATTCCACCGCTACTCGACCTTTGGAAACTTATGACCTGTAGTGGAAAGGAGCTAACATGCTCTTAGAAGAGAAAAGCCGAATGGCGAAAAGAAATGGATTGGTTGGTATTTTTTTACCATGAAAAGAATTTTTTGTATGCTTAGCATTTCTTATATGTTTGCCAAGAAAAAGAAGTTTTAGTTTTAAATGAAATTATGCAAAAACGGGAAGAAAACATCTAAGGGAGACTAACCTATCTCTAACCTAACATTATCATACAATGAGGGATCCTATCTCAGTTAGCATGCATGGTTTGCAACCTAAGTTCTAACTCACATCCGAACGAAGCAAGCGCATCCTAAGGGAACATGGCATGTACAAGGATAAAGCAAGCAATCCAGTAAACTCGAGAGAGCACACCTGAAGAGATCCTATATGGGTTAGCATGCTAAAGAAAGTCTAACAAAACTATCCTATAGGGAACATGCAATGAGAGCGAAGTTGTGATTTCAATTTCTAAATTGAGTGACTCATCAATCAACAAGAAATAAAGGAAAGTGATAAAATCCTATAGGGAGCATGCACTGAGAGCGAAGTCATGATCTAAATTTCTAAATTGAGTGACTCATTGATCAACAAGAAAGTAAACAAACACAAGCACAACACATATAGTAAATGAAGTGCGGAATGCCTGCTACAGGTCTTTAAACAGCGACTTCGAGTGCACGCTCTTTATTTCCTACTTCTCATGATATCTAGAAAGCGATAAATGCATAAATATAAATTTGAAGCAGTATAATACCAAACGAACAATGATGTCCGCAAAAAGCGCAACGAAAGTAAAGAAACCCGGAATACTTCGCGCGAGCTGGCATCAACAAACACACAGTCAGAGATTCGGAATAGGTGTTGAAGCATCATCGATAATCGGAATCCACACACATCTAACAAAAAAGGTCAGTTTCCTCTTCAAAACCACGCAAACAATAAGAAAACTCTACCAAATGCCTCCTTAAATCTTTCTCAATGGGGATTGCAATCTTAATTTTCTTCAAAACTTCTTAAATCTAAGTCTCTTTTTATTCCACAATATTACACAAAATTGGCATCAAAACCTACCAGAAAAATCATGGTTATCATGGCTACAAAAGATTACTAAACATTAACAAAATGATAATAATAAACAAACTAGATTCTAGAAAATTTACAAAGAGAAATCTAAAATCAAATAGCATACTTATTATTCTTATCTTTTTCAACATAAAAAATATAGAAAGAAAATTGACACTAAAACTACAAATAAAGGGGAAATAAAGATGAGGCAACAAGGAGTGCAAATAGGACCCTGGCACAGAGGCCCAACATGAAGGTCCAATCTTATGTTTTTGTTCACAAGGCAATAATTTTCTAAAATAGGATGGCCACAGGCTCAATGGATCAGTTCGGCCCAAGAAATTACCAATAATCCAATTGAAATGAATAGAAATAAAAAAACAATAATAATATAGTGGATGGAACAATGATATTAGAGAAGAGAGTTAGGGTTCAGTGATCTTTCAACTTCACGGTGTAAAGCTCTTCTTCTTCTAACAACATTCACAAACTGCGGACGACGACCTCCTCTCAATTGTCATTGTCTCCGATTCCCCATCCCTCTGTGCTCCTCATTATTCATCTTGCATTTTCCAATTGTACATCAACATCTGATCACCACAGAAGATCGGTATTTTCTTTGTTCTCATCTTCACCGAACCCGATTCAAACAACTATGAAATCGGAAGCAAAACCCCGACGGAGTGATCGAGAAAACCAGGTAATATCTTATAATTCTCCTCTTCACTTCAATTGATTTGATTCTTATTTTCTTCTTCAAATCGCGATTTCATATCATTCGCTTTCTCCAGATCAGAGCATCGATTCGCCTCAACCTTCTTCGTTGATTCGCTTCCGCAAGATCCCAGTCTTGTCCGGTTATCAAGGTATACGAACCCTTGACTCAATCTTTTTCTACTTTCTCTGTATTCTCTTGTTCTTCTAATTTATTTGATTGTTATTTCGTGACGTCGTTGTTAATCGCAGATCGATGCCGCTGTTGTTGATCGTTCCTGAAGCAGATTGTAACAATGAGGATGATGATGAAGAACGACAGTTGCAACTATTGAAGGTTGCTGACGATGATGATTGGAGCTTAAAAATCATTAAAGATTGCAGTGAAGCTTTTGGTGGAAGGTTGAAGAAGGGAGCATAGAGAAGATTAAATCTGTATGGTTGAAGGTTGAAGGTGGAATAGAAAGAGACATGCGAGTTTTTTGGTTTTTTGTGGTTCTTCTTTGAATTGAAGAAATGGAGAATGAAGAGTGAGAAAGATGGAGGAAAGTCAAAGTTGAGGATGGAAGAGAGAAAGACCATAAAGAGATTTCTGAGATAATTTTCTGGTGAGTTTTTCCCCTCTCTATCATTGGATCGTGATTTTGATAAAAATCGTGAAAAGATCCTTTTTTTTTAACTGTGGAGAACCAATTCTATTATATGATGAAAGTTTGTTGGGTTTTTTTTTTGGATTCTGTTAGTTTGTTGGGACTTTTTTTGAAAGGGTTAGAAAATTCTGTTATGGAGGTTATAGGTTGTTATGAGATGGTTACAGGGATGGGAGTTATCTGTTAGTTGAAATTCTGTTAATGCTGTTATATTTCTGTTACCAACTGTTAGCCCTCCTGTTATAACTTGATGCCTCCTACCTTACAACTTCTGACTTTTTATTTCGTTTTCTGAGTTCAACCTTCTGATTTAATTCCTTCTTCCCCTTTTATTTTGCAGGCCAACCGTCCTTTACCCTTGACAGCTTCAACAACAACTTTCATATCAACATCCATCTTTAACAACCGCAATCGATCCTCTATCAATGCCAACAACGCCTCATCTTTTACCCCCAACATAGACAGAACGAATACAATCTCTCGATTAAGAAAGCATGGAATTGATTCACCACATTTGGTGCCGCAAAGCATACTGTTTTTTTTAGAGACTAGGATTTCTGATATTTCCTGAACTGGATTTTTAATTGTTTATTGTAAGAACTACTTTATTGAATTATGCTTATTTCCTTTGATTTGGCTTTATTTTGAATGTAATGAATGGACTGTTTTTTTTTTTTGGTTAATATTTTGAAAGGCTTTATATGGTGTGAAATGGAATATGAGGCTTTGGAGAAAAGAGTTAGTAGGTTTAAGTATGTGTTTATGGTGAGATTTGCTTGAAAATGGTATGCAATGCATGGTATAGTTCTGTGGCATACTGCAAGTTAAGATGTCTGGGTATGATAGTTTTTTTTACTATTTTGTGGAGGTCTAATGCAGGTCTGGTGTAGCAGTAGGTTAGGTGTACGTTGGTAATGTACATGGTTTTTAACATGGAGGCTTTGCACATGAAGGCACTTTGTAGTTGACATGAAGTTCAAATTTGGAGTTTTTTCGAAAGTATCATGGTTGGGATTTAGTAGGAATAGGTCTTAGGACATCAATCAGACTTTGGTCAAACACCCTCTTTGTAATTCGTTCGATTGTAATGAATTCCTTTTCACTTGTAAGAAATTTTGACTTGGAAATGTGAAAGACATTATTTTTTTCTTGTAATCTTTATCTTGTAGCCTTGCTTGTCATCAATGATAAAACTTTATATTCCATGCATCCTCTCGTCCAAAAAGCATACCTATTTCTTTCATTTTGAAATGGTATGTATGATGATGATTCGAGCTTTGAGTGGTGAATGATGTCGAATAATGCTTTGAATGAATAATAAACATAGTGAGGTATGCCTTTGTTACTTGAATCCCAAGAAATTCATATGAATATACCATTTCCAAATTTAGTCATGAGCCAAATCCCAAATTATGCTTTTGAATAAATTGATCTCATGGAATCATTTGAATGAAACCTCATATCAATTCTCCATTGATCAAAACCGAGCCAAGTTGCCTTCTTGATGAACTTTTTTCCTTAATCACTAATCCAAATTAACTTGTATTTCTAAGCGACATACAACAATAAAGAGAACAAAATTGTCTTGATCAAAATCAATCCATAACTTCACCTTTTATGTCGTGTTTCATTCTTGTAATTCAATCCACAAAATATATTGACTTGACAAAGTCTTTTCAAGTGGTTGCCTCAACATACTGCCTCGAAGAAAAATATATCTTGAAGTATAAGAAACGAATCCCCTTAAGTCCAGTTCTCCAATTGATGAACCAACGAACTTGAGCAACAAACTGAAACCCTAATATCCTTGCCATGAACGCACACTAATGAGGAGGCGATTTAATATGCTGACGAGAAAACCTTCTTTTAAAACAACCTCCAATGAAGCCCTATATTCAATTCAATTTTCCAATCTTAAGCAAACTTTCACGACAAGCAACAAGTATGCGAAAAAATAATGATGCCTTTATTACAATGAATCCGCAAACTCGTCTCTTGCACCATGGCTTGCATTTCGCAATCCAATTCCACTATATATCGACTTGATGAGTAACAAGGTAGCCAATGCCTTGAATCCCTGGATAAAGGTAGGACTTGGAGCATAGTAGGATACCTTGACATGAAACTCAATGAATCTCAGTTGTTGAACATCAACAAGCTCAAATATGATGAGTAACAAACCCTAGTTCACCTGCTTTTTATAAAATTTGATAATCAAGGTAGCTTGAGGTGATGGAGGGAACCAAAACCTTAGCTTACAATTGAATTCTTGATGAAGCATAACAAGTTTAAAAAAAATTAACATCCTTCCCAGAACAAGTTAAAACCCTAGCATCTTTCCATGCTTGTTGAAGAAGTAGCTTGAATCTCTTGGATAAAGATAAGAGCCTCAGAGCCTTAAAGAAACCCTAATTCTTCGAAACCTTTGATCACATGCCACATTTTATCCACAAATTCGAGTCATCTTGCATTTGAAGGGACCAACTTCCATTTGATGAAATGAGATGAATGAGCTCCTAACCCATAACTTACCTGTGATACGGTGGGAAGGGAACTGACTGTTTTTTGGAATGCTGGTTCGCGTTTTGCGTTTGTTTTCGCAAAATGTCGCGGTAAGCAAGAGTCGCCACCGTATTTTATTTTATCCAACAAGGAAAGGAAAAAAGCACAGAAAAATTCCTTTTTCGAGATGTTCCTCGGGTCTGGGGGGTAGATTATAGAAAGGGAAGGTGTTAGCACACTTTCTATCCGTGGTTATCCACGGGCTCTTAGGTACTTGCTCAAAGTGTTTTCAAAATTTGCTTTTCTTTGTGTTTGTGGGTTTGAAAAGAGTTTTTGTTTGAAAGGTGTAAGTGCGAAAAGTTTTGTTTTGTTTTGAAAGAGCAAGTACTTAAGAACCATCTACCTACTCGAAAAAGGAATCAATCTGTGCTAATGTACTTTAGACAATGCTATCCCACTATTGATGAGTAGGTAGCACCGTCGTTGGAGTTTTAAGGGTCAATTCGATTAAGGGACGTGTGGTCACTAAAGCAATGTTAGGACGCCTTAGCGGTAACCCTAATATCCTAGATCATTTTTCCGAGGCAACCGTTTCGAGGCAACTATGATCTTTGGACAAGAGGGCGACCTCTAAAACTTCCTATACTCAATGACCACGTTTGAAGGCAACCAAGTGAGGTGTACCCTAAGAGTGCGCATGTGCGAGTGTGTTATTTTCAGTTAATTTATCTTTGTACATGTCATGGGTGAGCTATGTTGATTTTAAGTTCATACATTTGATCTTGTCATGCATTCCCTATTACCAAACATCTAACAGTGTATAGTTGCGGAATTTAAATTGCGGAAATTAAATCTAAACTATTACAAGGCGTCGGGCATTTACATCGCCAAAAACAACCCTTTAATTTAAATTGTGGAAAATAAAAGAAAGCGATAAATAATGTCCTAATTAAAAGCTATTACATACCGGAAGCAATTACAATATTGGAAATATGGATCGCGTGTGAGAAATTAAAACGGCGCATTTTTTAGGGTTTTGACCTTTTTTGAAAGAAAGCATCTTTTTGTTATTTTTTTGAATTAAAAGAAACTAAATCTAAATTAACAATTAAATTAATTAATTAATGAAAATATTTTTGGATTTTTGAGTATTTAAGGAAATAAAATAATTTTAATCAAAGTTGGTAAAAACCTAATATTCTACATTGATTTTAATTTTTTTGCAAAAAATCATTAAAAGTTATATCTATTTAAAACTCAATTAATTAAGTTAGTATTTATTTATAAAAATAAAGTTGAATTTAATTTTAATAAATAAAATAATATTTTTTGTGTTTTTGATTTTATTAAGAAAAATTATCAATTTGTTAGTGAAATAATAAAAATAATAGTTTAAACAAAATAAAGAAAGAAAATCAAAATAAATACTCAAAGGGGGTTTCAGGCCCAATTGGAGGGGGTGATTTGCAATTCCTTGGCCCAATACAAGTCAGTCTGCGTTTGAATTTCTGATCCAGTGTGACACGTTGACTGGGCACCATGGTGGGTCTCCCATCTAGACCATCAGATTTGGCCTGGAGGCCATATGTCCATTGATTGCATGAGGGTATATGATGATCACGCGTTTGATTTTGTACTAGAATACCTGTGAACAAAATGCAACAAATATATGGGGGACCTGGGATTCGAACCCAGGTCCCATTAGCCAATGCACTAGCGCCTTCACCAACTGAGCTATTATGTTTAATTGTTAATGAAATAAACAATGATTATTATATGGAGAAAACAAACAATATGCTAGAAATAAAAAAATGAGCGCGAAGTTATGAACGATCCAATGAGGAGGAGGCACGTGGTCGTCTTCTTCATTGAAAAGCCTGGTTATTTACCTGCGGATTTCATCCGCAGCTAAATCCATGGCTCACTCCTAAAATCTTCTCCAGGCTGTAAAAATCAATTCCAAGACCATGGTTCGATTTGTATGGGTTTCGTGAACACATCCATATCCATCAATTGGCTTGATTTCACCTGTAGCAAAAATACCCAAAAAACAACCTTCCAAACCCTAGGTTCGGTTACAGGGTTACAAGCTACCAAAACAAAATCAAATAATGCAGAAACGTTCTAAATGGAACGATAAACATGATAATGTCAAGATTTTGGCAAAAAGATGCAAGAATAAGAGGTTATGTTTTCGTGTACAGGGCCATGTTCAAGGAGACTTACAGCGCGTTTTAGGAGAGGAGAGGGCTTGGTTTTGACTGCAATTGCTTCAGTGGATGTCAAGCAAGAAGTCTGCATTGAGATTTTGTGTTGAATTGTCCTCTAACCAAGATTTCGATTCCACACTTTTCAAGCTTTTTTCAAGTTTGTTCTTGTGATTTTTTGCAGCCTCCAGGTCCTCTCTCTCGTGCCTTTGCCTTGTGTGAGTATAATGGAGTGAATTGGGTTTGATTTTAGGCTTTGAATCCTTAAGCATTGATGATTGGAGATTTGATATGAATCACCATTAAAAAGCTTCCAAAATTCTCTCAAATCCAATATTTTGTTCATAACATGGCTTGATTAGGATTTTATTTGGTCCATGATGATAATTGAAACCTGTATCAATCAAAAAGATCACAAGTTATTAATATTTAGATTTTATTTGGATTTAAATTGATTAAAAATGAATTAAATCAATACAAATCAAATAAAATAGAAAAATTAATAAATTGGCACAAGACTGAAGATATTACACGTGTGTGGTGTGACAAGATCAAATCAAGTGGAAAAAAGTGGGCCCTTTTGTCAAAAATTGGAGTTTTGGGGATAGTTGACTTTTGGCAATTTTGGAAAAATGCCCAACTTCAACAATGCATAACTTCTTCAATTTTGAAATTTTGGAGATGTTCTTTGACTTTTTAGAAACCTTGAGATGTCCTCTAACCAACCCTTTTTGTCTCATATCATTTTTATATTCCATGCTCAAGTTATAAGCTTTGGAAAAAAAGGTGTTTTTGTTGACTTTCAAAAATGACCTATAATGT